TAGCGTCCTCGCGGTCCTAACCGTGAAGCCAATGTCTCGTCGCGCCATAGCATTACCTTCCAGGCCTCAACACGATGTGAGTTTATCGGTGCCACTTACATGCAAATGACCCAGTTTACCCGTGATGTGGGTGCAGCGACACACCGTAATTGCTTTCCTCACAATGCCGTCGTCGTCCACTATCCAGCTGCACGGAGAGCCTCAGCGTCGTCGGGCCACTCTTCGGCGGCGCCGGCGCCGGACGCGGGCCGGCCTCGCGCCGGCGGGCCCCGGGGCCTGCCGGGGGCATGTGCGGGCGACAGCCGGGCCCGCTCGGTAAACAGGCCCCTGTCCGGGCTCAGTGGAGCGTGCGACGCAGGCCGGCAGGAAGGTGCTCGCGCGGGGGACGAGCGAGCGGGAGGCGCCGGCCGCTGCGCAGAACCTAACGCCGAAATTCAAAATGGTGGTACGCGGTAGGCTTTCAGCTAGTCGTCGAAAGCAAGCTGTTTACCCTTTTGATACGCGCATGTTATTTTCTATATAGTATTTTCATTCTATTATTCTATTCGATTATTTTACTAAAACAACTAATTTTGTAGAATGCATCTAGTCCCAAGTTAGCAGCGATGAATTTAACGTCGTCATATACCCGCGCATAATTTGTTTCGATCTTATACTTAGCCCAAGTCAAATACGTCTGGTATCACCCGAGTCTCTTCACACAGATGACTGTGCTGCCTGTAAGATTGCGTTGTCCACCCTTATCAGTAAAATGCTGACAACACATTTTACTGGAGCGCGAAAGGTCCTTATAAATAAGTATGCGACGCAGTCTTAATCATTCCTGTTCGGTAGAAATTAGAAGGTCGATAACATTTTACGCATGTGGTGCTGAGAATGTCAAACAAGCACCACTCCCTGGCATTATTTTGCAACCTTTATTCCGTAAACTGGACCCGAGGAGAAATGTGGCAAAACATCCGGATCTCAAAGGTGCTTGCGATCTCAAAGATGCTTCACCAAAATTTCAAAAAGGGGGTGCTGGATGCTGGGTGCTGAAAATGTTTCAATAAAACTCATAACCGGATCCAGAATGCCTGAATATTATGTGCCGAAACTTGAAAATGAAGCCTGGTTCCTAGAAATTTGCTGCTTCAGGACTCAAGTATCGCACCACGGGAAACATTCCTGAGGTCTATACACATGCTTTTGAGAATTAAATAACATAATATAAAAAATAATGATATAATATAAAGAGAATTAAATAATAAGTAGTAGAGGATCCCGACGCCTTAATGCTCATGCTTGACATTGTCTCATTGATACGTACGTACGTCTCAACGTACGCAGCAACTAGGGCATTGCCATGCGGTGTCAGATCTTGCAACAGTATGACATATTTGAGGCAGCTTATTCAATTTGACATAACCATAAAACACAGTGCCTCAGTTTAGTATACGTTATCAGCAACGAGGTACAACAACATAATGTTGGATCCGCATATGATAGCACGTTTTTAAGTGACGTGAAATTTATTTTGCAGAATACGGATAGCAATGGCACATGGCCTCGGGCGCCTTTCAGCACCACCATAACATTTGGTGCAGATTGCTCGCGAACCACGCGTCCTGCGACGATTGGAACGGCAAATTTTCGATCAACATCTAGTTTCTTTAGATTGGCATAAAAACAACACAAACAGAATCGAGTGATGTCTCATCAAGAAACAGGCTTTCAACAGCCTTACCTTGGAATTACCTGGAGCCGAGAAGTGCACGTGCGCTTTAGTCACATAAGGTAAGAAGTGGTATGCAGCAACTAATGCTCCTCGCGCATGTCTCTCCTAACTGTCTTTCGTCTGTACTTTTTGTCCGTCATTAACGCAGATTGTCTTCAATTCTGAGGGCAAACGAGCATGGAATAAAAGCGGTGGGTTTTCCATTTTCCAGCTGTCGTTGGTGACGACTGAATATCCGGTGGCGCAGACCGCACGAGCCCTGGCATTCCGGTCACATACACACCGGCGACATCGGGGATCAGACCGCACGCGCCGAAACGCGCCGGGATCCGGCAAACGGCTGCAGACGGGGCACCACCGCATTGTATGTTCGTTGGGGCGTTCATTTCAAAATAACGTTCGTTTTGAAGCCGGGATGTCGCAGTTTTGGCAGTAATGCCGCGCAAACAATTACGGTTTTGACCTTGGTTTTGCTTGGAAATGCCGTGCTCGAAGGCTGCTATGAAGAAATTGCTCACACTGTGTGACCTCTTGGCTGGTAGTCTTCAAAAACACATTAATAAAGTACAAATTGTACAATAAGAATATGACATTTTACCACCAAAGAAGTGTTGCTCCCTCCCTTGTTTTGACTCCTTAGCTACACCTTGATATATCCTGTTTTTTTTCGTCGACACGCCACCTGCCACCGGCGATCGCTTGTCGTCAGATTGGCGTGAAGCCTCCAGGCACGGAGAGGTGCACCTGCTCACCTGCGCCCACGGACGAGGCGCTGCTCCCCAGCGACCCGCCCCTGGCAATCGCTCTCCTCATGCGTTGGCTCCGGTGCCAAATGCCGGACCAATGGCCGACGGGCAGCCGGCCGGGCTGCGGCAGCCGCGTGGCCGCCGGCGCCGCCGCCAGATTAGTAACCGCCGCCGGGCCCGATGGAGATGGATGCCCGGCCTCTGGTCAAATTACGCCGTTCGTAGGTTTCAATTTAACGCCGAAATGTCCCTCCGCTTATATCACGTGTGTGCCGTGCCCCTACGCTCATGCCGCCGTTTGTCTCACTTACGTGTTAAATGACATTGCATCTTTGGCCGTGAAAGAGACTGCGCGACTATGGCGTGCTTCGAAGAACCTTATCGCGTACCCCTCCTGCCTGCTAGTACCCCTCCTGCCTGCGAAGTAGCGAGATGGCACACACCGCTGCGCACTTGTGCACCACACAAACCGAGTGCCGAATGTAAGCGCGAAAGGGAAAGATACCGCCCAAGCCAGTTCCGATGCATTAGTACCAGGCTGCACAACAGACACCAAACAAGTTTCGTCGCCTTAGAAGAGCCTGAAGCGAACGATGAGGTTCACGAAGAACAATGGACAACAATGGGCAACGCATATAGACTGAGAACGTATTTTTGGCTCGAACGGCGTGTTCAGAGAAGCGACCATAAAAAACCAACAGCGCTTCGGCCTGCTCGCACTGTTGCACTTCATATCAGCGCTCAGCCTGCTATCAAAGCCAAACGACACCGACTGGCCTACGCGCTTCCTCCGCTCAGCTTCGGTCGTGCCATCTCGACATCGGCGAGCCGCCCCCCGCCGGCGGCGACGACGACGAGCGCCGACGAGCGCGGCCCGGGGCGGGGTCGAGATCGTCGCCGGCGACGCGGACCGGAGGGCACTCAACCGAGTCAGGCCCGGCACCGCCGCCGGCCAGGCAGCGGGGCTCGGCCGCGGACGGGCGACGGCGAAATGTGAAATCAGCCGCGACGCAGAAAAAACGACCGGCGGCGGTCAGCGTTACGGCCGACAAAGGGTGGCGCGCGGTGACTCAATGAAAGTTATGATGGACATGGGAGACGGATTTGGAAAAGCGTTGATAGATTCTGAACAAGCGTATGATAGCACTCAAGCGACATCTGTAGTCTTGTTATTCGTTACGGAAATAATGCTAGGTATATAGTTAGTTTGGATAGGATAAGCCAGAGATGTAGTTTCGCAAAATATGTCAGAGGCTCAGCGAGGAAAGTGGCCAAACTTGCATACCGATGCTCATATATAGTTATGAGGCACCTGCATTCGATGGGTTATGTGGTGTCCATGTCAATGCATGAAGGCACAGTACAATGTCCACGGTGTGGACATCGCTCTAAGCCGTGTGTGCAAATACCCACGGCAAAAGGTTTTGTAAAGGATTGATGCAAAAGACGTTATTCATTTTTAAATCGCTGTATTGAACAATTGAACTATCACTTGCGCAATGTTTTTCGCCGTGACGTTATCAAATACAATACGGCCATCATTAAAAACAGGTGGTTGTGGCCTCTCGCAGGCCCATGTTTGGGCCAACACTTTGTCGGTTATTACAGCGCAAAAAATCAAACTCCTGACAAAAATACAGGTTCTGAATGAACTGGGAGGACAAACGCAGCTTTGTATGCTTAAGTATGACACAGTTTTTGGCACACTCACACATTCAAACATCCAAATGACCTCTTGTCATACAGCAAACCAAGATTTCACATCTCGCTAGTCATTCCAGCAGCTACAGCACGCAGTCGCAAAGCGTGGTAAATGTCCCGAATAATCCTCCCCGATTAAACCTTGGAATACATGACGTCATAAAGATTGACGCATAGCTTTCACAGCCCTTCAACTGGCTCACCTGTTATCGGTACCGTCGGCTGGTGTGGACATTTTCTATTAAAGTGTGTCAAGAACTGTCCCCCCAAAAAATTGATGCTATTGCTAGATGCGCGTGTGGCGTGTTTTATCTCACATGCATGTGTTTGACTCATGAGCATTACACAAGCACAAAACTCACGATCAAATCAACGCATATCAGCATCAAATACCGTGTTTCATAAACCACGAGCAGGTAATCCGCATGTGCATGCATGCTTTAGGTGCAAACCACATCAATCCGCCAAGCAAAACGAAATCATGAGGTAGCTGTCAATGCCAGGTAGGTATACGCTGAGAATCCGGCATGCATTGTACCCATCAACCCGCGCAAGAGCTACCTAACACTGGCCTGGCAGCGCCACGCGCCGGCCAGCACGTCTGGCCAGCCCGGCGCCTGGGGTGCGCACGAGCCCCGGATGAACGCGGCAGCTCCTGCAGGCCATCAGCACGGAAATGAGGCCCACATGCGCCTCATCCCGGTGCCAGCCGGCTGACCACGCATGCAGGCGGCAGGCGCCGATAGGGTCAGGGCCCCAGCAACAGCGACGTCACTCCACAAATGAGGAGGGGAGATAGAGGGTCCTGACCTCGGGGGACGCTTCGTCTGGCTCCGGCCGTAAGTAGGATAAACGGGGGTGGGGGCCAGCGAGGGCCCGCTGGGAGCAGACCGCCAGCTGCGCCACGTTCGTCGCTGCCGCGCGCTGTGTGCGTCAGGGTCTGGGATCCGACCATTTGTCTTCACTTCCGATGGGTGTTTTCAGAGGGTCGGTGTGGCGCTGTTCCGAGGAGATGGAAATGGTCCGTGGTTTCGCATCAGATACAGAAAAGAGAAATGCAAGGAAACAATAGTTGTTGGGCAAGTATGCGTGCGTTCTAAAACCACTCTAGCGTTTGATTATCAATTTTCTATCAAAAGAGATATTTAGAGATCGGAATTGCATTTTTTACACAATCACATGCAAGGAAGACAAACGTTTGACAAGAGTGAACATGAACATGCTGGTATTTCCTGCTTTCCTTTTAGAGTGTAAAAGCGAGCTCTGATTTTATATTTCGTCGGCCGTGCAGAATCACGCGACGTGTCAAAGATGAGTCCTACACATCGCTTCCGATTCATCTGCAACACTGCAGTTCCGTATTCATTCCCGGCAGCTGCTTTGTGTCGCCGTTATCAGCAGTCGGCACTCGCATTGTCTCCTTTCCGCTCTGGATCGCAGCCCTCCAGTTCTGCCTTTCGAGACAGTCAGATTAATCCCCTCGACCAATCAGCCGAGGGCTTTCAGAACCACTCTACTATTTTGCATTGCCATTAGGTCCCGATAGGAGGAGTGGAGTCCGTAAACAATGCATTTGCACAGCTCTTTGAGCTCAGGCTCAAAGAGATTGAGATAGGAAAACACGATAACAAGAATGTTCACATCACATAGTTTTTCTGAGCGCTAGGTGTTTCTTCATATACTGCCTTTCTGTGGATTGTCATGCAACCTTCAAGGCCACCCTGGCAGTCAGAGGCGTATCAACATCCCTTTGAGATCAAATAGATAACCTTTACTTTTCAGGTAAGTCACTTACTTGTTTTACTATGCTTAATATAAACCACAACACAAAGTGGATGAGCCATGCTCACTGTGTCTGTGCGTGTACTGCGACCTCGTCTTGACAGTGCCCCTCCCGCTCCGTTAGGCCGTCGCTAATGTGGCCGCGGCGACCAGACGCGCCAGAGATGGTCGACCATCACGTGTTGCGTGCGCGGCCTGTGCCCGGTGGCCACCCTCGCTGTGTATTGACCGCACGCGGTGTCCCCCGCCGCCCCGGGGACGGTGAGTCAGCGCCCTGCGACCAATTGATCGGCAGGTGAGCGGCCGGGACCAGCAGCCTCGCCGGCCCGACCAGCGGCGCCCGCCCGTCTAATGACGCCCGCCGCCCTCGAGAGACAGGCCCGCGCCGTCCCTTCGGCCGGGCGGCTGGGAGACGCCCTCCTCTACCGACGCTGAGGAGGGAGGCTTCTTCAGGAACGGTCTCGTCGGCCGGGAGCATCACACGGTTTCCTCTGTCGGGGAGGATCACAACGTCTCCCCTGCCGGGGAGGATCACACCGTCTCCTCTGCCAGCAAGATCTACACAGCTTTCTCTGCCGCGAGGATCACACGGCCTCATCTGCCCGTAGGGATAATACGCTCCTGGTCCGAGGGGGTGTCAACGCTTCATCTGCCGGGGCGGATGTCATTATCTCCTCTACCGGAGCTGGAGAACGGACAGAGTTACGATGTAGGAGGCGGAAGGTGAGCGGTGGATCCAGCTCTAGAGCAGAACCCTGGTATCTCCGCTGTCGCTTCGGTGCTGTCTGGGTATGGACCAATCCTCCCAGTGACCATGGTGTCAATTTTAGCGACGAAGCTCGGAGAAAGAGAGCTACGGAGACAGCCACAGTTAGATGCTTCTTCGGCCCATTCAAGTCCAGGGTCGTTTTTCACAACCGCTGTTCGCACCCGCAACCAACTCCCTTCTCCCATCGAATGAATGAGGCCAGCGAGAACAAAGCAGCGAATAAAAACCGTCCACTCGGAGCCGCGGCCCATCTTAGCTGATCCGGGCCGAAGGGAGGCTCTCGCGCAGTTTGTTCCGGAGGGCCTGGACTGAGATAGCGCCTCAAGCCGCCTGCGTGCCCAGTTGCCCGTGTGGAAAGCATATTTGCCAATTTCAGCTGAAGCAGAACGGCAACTTTCGAGCAGCAAAAGCCGCTGAGCGCGTGCCTGTGGCGTGTCGGCAATGAAAGGATGTGAATAACGTGCTGCGTGGCGAAAGTGCCGCAGCGTTAAGATGTAGTTTTGCTCCTAAATGATGTACCTTTTCACCAAGGGTGTCATCCGTAGCAGCAGACCGGATGATAGACACACGAGGACCGGCAACTGTAGCATGGGCCGGAGCCAAATCTTAACGTACATAACACAGATGGTACCACCGGCAGCAAACATCTCAAGCTAGCATAGAATACCATCGATATCCAGTCGCACATGGACAACAGATGGACGTAATGGGTAGCGTATTTGTATCCCTTTCTGGCGATGTAGCGCTGCGCTCTTTAATCCCTCGTGATGCAGGGTCCTGCGCAC